AGGTGCACCTTCAAATTTTATCATGATATATAATTTTGATGTAAAATGTTCTTAAGATTATCTCAAAATCTATTTTTATATTTAATTATAAAATTTTAAATTTTAAAAATGGTTAAAATCAAGTAGATATATAAACACATGAAAATCTTGAAAATGGACGGTGTAGATAATATGTTGTAAAGTGCACTATTTCTGACATGATCAATCAAAGGTTTTTTAGGATCCATATGATTAATCAATTAAAACTACCTTTTCCGATGGATTGTTTAGGTGCATCCATAGTTTTACATATAAGGTTGCAACTCTATATAAACTTTTTCCTTATAAAAATACAAATAATAATTCTAAAATAATTTTTATCATAAAAAATATATAATTAAATTAATTAGATGAGAAATTTATCCATATAGTTTAGAAATTGAATCAACAATTATGGGATATTCCACCTTCAACTATGGACTACAGGTCACACTTGCTTTATCAGGTCGACATAGTGTTTCCCATGGCCCACAATCTAAGTAGGAGCTAATTAGCAAGTCACCAAAGTTTGGCCAATGAGCCAAGGGGTCGCAATCCTAGTTTGTGGATTACAGGTCTTCCCCTAGAGACATGTCGAGATCATCTAAACATGATGTGACTACAGTTCATATGGTGCATAAGGGTATCTCTCATATATGCATACGCTTCATCCTGAAATGTGGCTTGCTTTTTCGAAACTATCTATTAATATGAATGTCGTGTGATAGTACATGGATGAGGCTTTGGCTTGTGTCTTTGAAAGCTACCAGCACACATAAGGGTCACACAGTCTATTGGCTCACTCATTTGAGCATACTCCGGCATCATCAAGGGATGACCCATTAGAACCCTTAACGGTTTATATTTTATGCACAGGTAACATGAGTTTGTCCCAACCAACTGGGTTAGACCGTCAACCACAGATCGGTATCTGTAAACACTCTTTACATAATAAAGTCCACGAGGGATCACACTCCCACTGAGTTCATGTTTCACTAAATCAAATATTTTTATTACAATCACTCATAAGGCCTTGAAAGGCCACATAAACCCTACACTTTTATAGGCTTTCATTTAAAATGTACAAACGTTACAACCTACATCAAATAATGCATTGTACCATGGGGAACATGATGGTGACTTAGGCCATGACTTCATAAAAGTAGAAACTTTAGACCCCACCTCAAATGATGCACTGCACCACGGGAGACCTGAATTGAGTGCGATTTGTATAGAGCCTAGGCTCTAAACAATCAAAGTAAATCTCACCTTTAAATAGTGTCTAGAAATGTAGTTTCAATAATGGAAACTTTTGTGATAATCTTAAATTATATTTTTATATTTAATTATAAAATTTTAAGAGTGTAAATAGAGCAAATCTATGAAAACAATAAAATTGACAACCCAAAAATGTGTTACAAGATGTACTATTTCCAAAATTTGAAATCTTTTTTTTTCTCATGTCCATGAATCTTTATTTGAGATGATCAATTTGAGGATTTTTGGGCATCAAAACAACCTCTTCTAGCACAATTTTGAGATGGGCTCTAATTTGATTGTTTAGAGTCTCGGTTATATATAAACTTTTTCGTTTGTTTATTTCTAAAAGCAAAACTTAACCAAGAATTTCTAAAATTAAGAGATGTACAAGGGTGAGGCCCTAAACAATGTCGAAAGATGTCGTTTCAGAAAATCTTTATGATGACCTTAAATTTTTTTTCGCGAATTATAAAATGTAAAGCTTAAAAAATAATGTAGATCAAACAAATCTATAAATACTTAAAAATCATGGAAATTGATAGTCTAGATATCTATTAGAAAATGCAATATTTCCGAGGCATGGAAGTCTATCTTTCTTTTTTTTTCGGTCATGTATCTCAAGATTAAGATGATCAGATTTGAGGGTTTTTCAGTATCGAAACAACTTCTTTTAGTGAATTTTTGAGGTTTACCTTTGTTTTCCACCCTCAATCTTTTAGAAACATATATATATATATATATATATATATATATATATATAGT